GCTCCCGACTGCTACCTGCTGTCGATGTAATAGCCTGCTATCAAGATACTGGTGGGTTGGGTAGGACAAAGAGAATGACATTAGGTGGCTCTCATGGACTGTGGCTTGTCAAATCAAATTTGAAGGGGTTTGGGATTCCGTGATTTCAATCATTTCAACGTAGCCTTGCTAGCCAAACAAGCTTGGCGTCTTCTCACAAGTCCGGACAACACCTTAAGTCAGTTGTACAAGGCCGAATATCACCCGCATGTTCACTTCCTAGCAGCCGGCAAGGGTTCTCGACCCTCATGGGCTTGGCAGGGCATCTTGGAAGGGCGGGACTGGCTCTCTCGGGGACTACGCTGGCAGATCGGGTCTGGAGCCTCAGTCCGAGTTCTAGAGGATGTCTGGCTCCCCACTACTCCGCCTTCCTCACCTGTGTTGCTTCAAGGAGTGACATTTGCCCCAAGGAAGGTGGCTGAACTGATATGTGAAGAGTTGAGGACGTGAAATACGGGGCTCCTTCACAGCTTGTTTGAACCAGAGTCCGTCCAAGCCATTCTCAGCATACCCTTGGGCATTCATTTGTCGGAGGATAGAATTGTCTGGCATTATTCAACCTCGGGGGAGTACTCGGTGAAGTCTGGGTATCATGTTCTAACGAATGAACTGAACGCTCTTCATCCTCCGGTTGTTTTACCTTTTGATTGCAGGTTTTGGAAACTTCTGTGGAATCTGCCGATACCTCCGAAGCTTAAGGTGTTTTTTGGAGAGTGGTGCGATGCTTCCTTCCTCTGCAAACAGTGCTCCTATTTAAAAAACTTGTTGAGTCTTCCACTTGCCCGGTTTGTTCAGAAGGGCCAGAGACGTTCGCCCACTACTTTTTCCAATGCCGGGCGGTGCGAGAGTTATGGCGCATTGCGGGTTTCGAGCAGCTCCGGCTATGACTAGGATCTCTTACTCCGGATGAGGCATGGAAAGAACTCTTCTTCTCGTTGCATTTGTCTAAATTGCAGGTGTCCAACATTGTATTCTTGTGTTGGTGGATTTGGAAGGCGCACTGCTGGGCTGTACACAGCGACATTCAATATCTAGCCCCTGCCTTACTCAGGCAATATAGACATCAAGTTGAGGAATGGCGGGCTGCTACTTCGGAAGCGCAGCCACCGCAAGGAGTCCCTCATTCCGATGTGGCGGATCGACAGGCGAGTGGTGTAGCTACTTCGGGGGTGATGTGCTGCCGTCCAGGAGCTGAAGTCCAGGTCCTCACCACAGGCATCGCGATCCGGTGCGATGGAGCGCTCAAGCGAGGGAGCGGAGGCAGCATCGGATTTGCAGGATTCGACCTGAATGGAAGCTTGCTGCTGGCGTTCGGTAAGTACTACGACGGCATCCAATACCCGTTTCTTGTGGAGCTCTTAGCCTTGCGAGACACAATGAATTGGTGTCTAACTCGTGGTTTTTTGTATGTCAAATTCTATGGCGACGCTCAATTGGTGGTTCGTCGGGTGCTGGCTCGCGAGCGTCGGCATGCGTTGGGAGGAGCTGTCCTTGAGGATGTGCTGCAGCTTGCAAGCAACTTTGAATTTTGTTCTTGTTCCTTTACTAGTCGCAGGTTTAAAAGGGCCACCCACCTTGTGTCAAAACAAGCCCTTTCATCGGAAGTTCGACTACTTGTCGACTTCCGCACGTGGTTGCTTTCTGTTCTCTGACTACATGACTGAACGATTTCTCGTTTGTCTATGTTAAAAAAAACGAACCTGCGAATGCCTACGTGATTATGATATATAATTCCACTAATCTTAGTCTTTACAAGTGGACTCGCCATCAACTTTGGAAAATAAGTGGCTTAAGGTTTGTGATGGCATGGACGGAGTGCGTAACTTAATACCCATGCTCCGTCCCACGCTACTACGTGTTGGGGTGTGTGGTACATGTGCGAGTATGGTGTAACACCCCGATATTTTAGATTTGGGTTTGACCATAATACGTGAACGGTTGGGTTGACGATTACGTACGAAAGATTGCAATCGCGGATTAATAATAATAATAACTTTTATATTATTATTATATTAGAAAAAAATATTAAAGAAGGGCCAAGGGGCCGGGCGTCCCCAAAGGAAACCCTTCCCCACGTCTTCCCCCATCAATTTTTCCCCACAAATCTTGTTCCCAGCCGTCAGGGGAAAATAGGCAGCATCAGTCATGTGTTGGGCGGAGGAAGAAGAAGAAAATGAGCGCCAACCCCTGTCCCCGACCCCGACCACGACCACATCCCTTTCGTTCTAGCGGTAACGTTGAGGGTTCGATCAACAAGGAGATCAACGTCCCGGGCAATCCAATCTAGTCCTAGGTACGTTCTTGAGGTAAGGGAACTCGATCTCTTTGAGTTAGATCGATCGATTTGGTGATTTTTCGTGAGGGTGAAATCCTGAGGTTTTAGCAACAGATGTTCAGGCTTTTAGTGACATATTTTGATTGGTCACTAAAGCGGCTGGAAATTTCTAGAAACGTATTTTTAGATGTTTTAAATTGTTTTGAGCCTCTCTGAAGGTTGTTTTATGAATTTAACAATTTTATAAATTGAGCGACGTCTAGGATATTATCATAATTTAATTTGGGGATTTTTGAAGATGTATTTCAATTTTTAGAAATTATTCGAATATTCATTTTAATTAAATAAAAATCTGTACGATGGATTTTTAAGGGTTTGATAATTTTCCAGGGTATAAGTGCTCATTCTTGAAATGGGAAAATTATTTTCCGAAATTTTAAGAAGGTTCAAGTTAGGTGAAAAATTCGTCCAAGAACAAAATAATTAAGAAAAATGGCCGTTTTTGAATGGATTAATTCTAGAAAATTTTAATGGGGGTTAAAGGACCTTTGGAATGAGGTTCAAGGACTGGAGTTTGAGGAGAGGATCTTCTAGTGATTCAAATGGGGTTTTAAATCAAGAAAGGTCGTCTAAGAAAATGAATTCTTATTAATAGGTTTCCCCAAGATAATCCGGCTAAGGAGGGGTTTCTTCGAGGAAGGAATTGAGGAGTCTTTTCGAGGTGAGTGTAAAGGGGGTAAAATCTCTGTCGTAGGTCTTTTAGTTTTTGCTTTTCGTTCAAGTTATTAATTAGTTAATTTTTGAGTAATGCGCGATATGTGTGTGAGGCATCCCACCGCCTGTAAGGGTGGAGGCACGCGTTGTGCTATGTATGAATGTATGATTGTAATAGTTGGTTAATGGTAAGAGGAACCCCCGGGCGGTTGGGCCACTACTGGACGCGGTAGATGGTCGGGTCATTGCTGGACGGCGAGACGTAACGCAACAGTTGATCGAGTATGTTGGGGTCACTACTGGACGGCGAGACGTAACACAGTATTTGACGGGCATGGACTAGACGACGAGACGTAATGCAGTGCCATTGCCGAGTTTGGGTATGCAACCGGACGGCGAGACGTAAAGCAGTTGGCATACTAGGGTAGGGACACCGGACGACGAGACATAACGCGATGGTCCCTTGTGTTGGTGCCTATGGATTAAGAATATAAGTAAGGGAATTCTAAAGATAAGATATGAGTAGAGATCTCTTATAGACTGTTTGATAGTAAAGCTTAAAGGATGAAAGTGAGAACGACTTTCGTCTAAGGAAGGCATTCCCCTAATAATGTGTTTAGTAAGGAGTGTGCCTAGGGCAAAGACGAGACTGACCCCCTTCTCACTCACCGGGTTGAGGATAGTCTAGCATAAGTGGATCACGAGAAGAAGCAGGGCGAGGCGAGCAGCAGTACCAGCTTCGACGGGATATCAGAAGGCTCTTGAGGAGTCAAGTTAGATTAGTTAATTATTATGTTTCATGGTTATTAGTATAAACTGGAGATTCTATGTTAAGTCGTTTTAAGTGTTTGAGATTGAGAATTTTGCCCAAGTGTTGGGGCTTTTCGTTAAAAATTCTTAAATGAGGTCGGTTTGTTTATTTTAAAAAGTTGTTTGGGTTGCTCCGGAGTAACCGGTTTTTGGTTTGAGTTAAGGTTTGGTTTTGAAAAGAGACAGGACGTGTCATATGGGACGGGGCGAGTGGATCCACTCTTGTTATTTGATAAATATATATTCAAAATTTTACTTTTTATTATAAAACAAAGGAAAAAATACTTTATGAATGAAATAGTGATAATAGAGTGGGTACTGAGTCTAATTAGTTGAAAGATCGAGTCTAACTAGTTGAAAAAAGTCAAAATAGAAGAAATATGAATAGATACGGTAAGAAATTGAGATAGAATGGGCCAAGAACGAGGCGGACGGGGCATGGCGGGTCAGAATAAGATACCTATGCCCTGCTCCACGCTACTGCGGGTCAGGTGATACACGCCCCATCGCGGGTCAGGTCGGGTAATACATGCGGGGCGGGTTCAAATTGACTTTACTACTAGAAATGAGTTCCAATTGTTATTAATAGGATGACAATGAGATGGGTACCATGGGTAAGACCCGCTCCGTACATCCAACATTATAATACCTAAAATTTTATAAGTAAATTTCAATTTTAACATTAAACACACCTACTATATCATGAAGTCGCCAACAAGACAATCATTCTCAATAGGGTTCAAAGCATCTTATACTAAAACCTCAGATCCAAGCGATCTTTTCGTAGGCGTTTGCCCCCTTCTTATTTAATTAGGGCTAAGAGCAGATACGACAAGAGCACTTGCTATTGGTGTTTCACGATAAGTATTGGAAATGAACGGAGAACTGGTGGAACGTGCGGAACCACATATTGGATTTCCTTCCTTTTTTACAGTTTGTCTTGTGTAGAGTAGTTTCTCTCGAATATGGTCACCACTGCAATTAGACAAAGGTCTATGGCAACTCAGTCTTCTTTCTACCACAACTTGAATCGGAATACCACACCGGCCTTTCTATAGCTCTAAGTACCCTTTTATAGTTCAGGTAGGTTAGGGTATAACAGGACTTGAACCTGCGACCATTAGGTTAAAAGCCCAATGCTCTATCAACTGAGCTATACACCCCCAAAGCCTACACCTTTTTAAATCCAATCATAGATATTATCCCAGTAATCCCTCTCTTCTTTTTTCTATTAGCCTTCATTTGGCAAGCTGTTGTCCCGAAGGTGAACACTTTCCGAATTCTCGGATTGGGCTAGTTGTCCTATGCATTCCTGAATAACATTGTCTAACACATCAACAAGTTTATTCAGTTCCATATCTTTTCGGACCAACCCCTGGTTCTTTTCGTTGGTCAAGAAACGAAAGAATTCCCAGAATACAGTAAAAATTATACATAATTCCCAGAATACATAAGTTTTATAAAATTTTCCCAAACTACCCAAGTTTCAAAGAGTTCGAGTTTATGGGACTCGAACTACCAACTAGATCGACGATGAAAAACTCGAACAACATAGATCGACGACGAAAGACTCGATCTCAGTGGAACGATGACAAAGGACTCGATCTCAGTAGATCGAGTATGGACAACTCGATTTAGTTAGATCGACGCCTTAAACCTCGATGTAGTGCAACGACTTTAATGCACCCGATCTTTATCTGCACTAGATCGATGCCCTATGACTCGAACTACGTAAATAGATTCCAAAAGGCTCGAACCACTGGCCCACCGACATGCTTCAGGATAGGGTTGCAGGGATAAGATTCTTTGTTATCATAGATCGAGTTTTAGGGACTCGAACTAGAGTAGTTCGATTACACTAAACTCGAACTACTTGCTCAATCATTCTGTCTAGTCGCTTTCGGTCCGACATGCTCCAAAATAGGGTGCAGGGGGGAAATTATTGGATGGCGTAGATCGAGTTTAATGAACTCGAACTAGTGTAGTTCGAGTGTTTTGGACTCGAACCACTGCATCAGTTTACGAGGATAAAAAGCCATCACTTAGCACATTCTGGCAGCTCTTTTACTTTCTATCTTCTTTCTTCCAAACACAAACTGCAGCAGCTGGAGCACCATAGCTCAGCAAAGAAGAAAAATTTTGGAGGTAAGTTCTGCTTACGTTGTTTGAATGAGCATATTAGAATTTTTGGATTAATTTAGAATTGTTTGTACTGTATGTAATGAGCTGCTTCTATAAACTGCAGAAATGGGTAGAAATTTTCAAAAATTCGACTTATTGATTCGGTGGAATGGTCGAATTACACATTTTCATGATAGTATTGACTACGAAGATGGTGAATCAAGTACTGTCCTGATTAAGAGCATATTTACTTGGCAAGAACTCAGCCATATTTGTGCGGAACGATGTTGCATAGGAGGGAGAAGAGTATGCAAGATGACTTACCGTATGCCGGTTTACAAGGATTATGCACTTGTATATGAAGGATCAGTTTTGTCTGACGATGATGATGTTAATATGATGGTGAGATTTATTGCAGAGAACAGATTTCCAACTGCTGAGGTGTATGTCGAGACAAAAGTTTTTGGCCAATATGGTGGGGGCGGTTATACCGAACAAGGTGAAGGATCGGGAGGTTTTTCCGGTTCAGGAGATTTCAGAGTGCGGCATGATGCACCATGGCCAACATACGAGGATCGAAATGCAACTGGTCCATTGGTGGAACATGACGGACAGGAGTGGCCAGTATGGGGTGAAGAATGGGATTACATAAGGGCACCCAGACAGTCACCCAGACAAGCATCTACACCAGCATCTGGCATCAACAATGATCCATATGTGGATAAACCAAGTCCTCCATACACTAGCGAGGCAAGCGACGTGGAAGATGAAGAGTTAGAATCAATGAGTAGTTCATATGGTGAAGATCTGGAAGTTGACGAGGGGGAATTTCAGCCCCCCACACCTCACTACACGATGGTGCCACAACATCCTCTCTATGATCACAACGACGATCCTGACCTCCCTCCTATACCAATCTGGACTCCTGACTCTGGATTCGTGGTTGGCCAAACATTTGCAGGAAAGCCACAGGTGGTCGATGCATTGAAAGAAACTGCTATGCGAAGAAGCTTTCAATATCGTGTCATCACTTCTGACACTAAACAAATTCATTTTCGTTGCGAGAACCATGGCGACGGATGCATGTGCCATGTTCGGGCGACATATGTTAAAAGAAATGGGGCTTGGCTCATTCGTAAGACAGACAACAACCACACTTGTAGGTCGTCACTGATTTCTCTAGATCACCGACAATTGAGTGCAAGGAAGGTTGCACAAACAATCAAACATCTGATTGAGGCACAACATGGGATCACCGTGAAGAGTGTCATCGCTGAAGTGAAGAATCGACATGGCTATACCATCAGTTACAAGAAAGCATGGCACGGGAAGCAAAAAGCTATGGCAGAGGTGTATGGTGATTGGGAAGAGTCATTTGCTAACATGCCTCGTTTGATTCTTGCGAAAGTAGGAAGGTGCTCCCAAACCCATAGTTGGAGGATGAACATGAGACCACCCGCTTGCTTTGTTTTCGGATCCGTACACTTGCACAACTCCGAATATATCATGGCCAAACAAGCAGATCCCCAACTTTTTCTCCCAATCTCGTCCCAATCTTCCAAAAGAACTCGAAGCCACATACAATGCATATTTCCACTAGACTTGTTCGGAAACAAAAATCCTCCAACCAAACAAATAAGGTAGATGCGAGCATACCTCTCTATATGAGCATCCGTGGCATCCTCCGGTAATTCCCCAACGGTCCTCACTAGCCAAGGTATCAATAACATAGACTTGTGTAGAGGTGGTACACGACGACCTTCTTGTGCTTCCTCGGGGATGTTGATACCTAAACACTCGCTTATAAATTGGCCCCAACCATTCAATGGTTTCTGTGAACTTTCTATTATTGCATCACCATTGATTGGAAGCTCTGTCAGCATGGCTACGTCCTTCAACGTAATCGTCATCTCTCCCTCTAGAAGGTGGAATGTGTGCGTTTCTTTTCTCCATCTTTCCACCATTGCCGTAAGAAGGTTGTTGTCCATCTCCATCCCTACAAACTTTCGCACCCTCAGCAATCGCGCTCTTTCAATGAAGGGCTCGATACGATCATCCCATTTAGGCAAGCGAGATAGCGACCGATGGGTGATTACGTCAAGTTGTTCCTGTAGAAAAAAAAATAATTATTATACATAAAAAAATTAGAAGAATACTATCACATTTAAAAAAAGAAAAGTAAATGAGGAAGTGCTTACCGGATCTGCCGCCCAAACACTTTCAGACCGATGGTAAGGTTGCTCATCCAACAAATCGGTTTCTCGCGGTCCGCCTTGAATGTATAATCTAGGATCGTAAATACACGGATCCATCTCGGCAATTTTGGGTGATAGAAGTACCAAACTAAAGAAAAAAATCTGATGCGGAAGATCGGGCTTAGCCGCAACCACAAAGCATATTTTTTTCTTCAAGAGTGGTGGGAGGAATAGAGGAAGAAGAATGGAGTGGTGTGGGATTTGGTGGAATGGGAGGGGGAATTTATAGGTGCAGGTGGTTGAGGTGGATCGAGTTTAGGGGACTCGAACCACTGCCTCGATTTTTCGGCCTTCGATCTGCGTCAAAACAGTTCGAGTGCAGGCAAATCGAACGACCAGATCGAGTCTGGCAAACTCGATCTACGGTGGAGCGGGTCTGACGTCATTGATCCGCGTCAATTAGATCGATTCTAGGGAGCTCGATCCATGTGCATCGATTTTACCCCACTCGATCCGCGTCACCACTAAATCGCGGACTTGGCCATTGAACGGTGGAGTTCGATTCTCCTTACCTCGATCTAGGGTGGAGCGCTGCTTATGTCAGCGATCCATGTCAACCAGTTCGAGTGTACTGTACTCGATCCACGCAAAACGAGTTTACCACACTCGATCCGCGTCGTCCTGTTCCAGCCAATCGCGGCTGTTTCACTCGATGCACGTGGATCGATCCCTTGACAATCGATCTGTTTACTAGTTCGAGTTTGTTAAACTCGAACCGGTTCAAACTTTGGTATTTTGGGAAAAATTTATAAAAGTGATGTATTGTTGGAATTACTTTTAATTTTCACTGTATTTAGGGAAATAATCCGTCAAGAAACATAGCTGAAAACTTGCTTGCCCACTAGAAAGGCTGAAAATTGAAAATGGAGTTAAGATTTTCTTCCTCTGTATATCAGAAACCATTACACTAGCCTTCTTTAGAAGATCTTGAACTAGTAGTTTATGGGTCTCCTTACTGATAGGTAATACAAGGGATCTCCCAATTCGTAATTTCTTAATAGGAGCCGCCATTACTTGACCTGGAGAATGAGCCACTTGTTGGCAGATTTTAGAAGGATAAATAGATCCCAAAAAAGATAGACTTACCCCAATCAGATTATATTTATTTGGCACATCGTTGTCAATATGAATGTTAATGTGTTCAGAAAAACACACTAAAAAAAGAATTGTAGTTTTTGTAATTGGCACGTGTTTTCTTAAACTAGCTATAAGAGCCATAATTTGACTCTTATCTGGAGAATAGCCAACAACACTCTATAGCTGAAAATAGCTAGGCCAATTTTGAGTTCAATGGCTAACTCACTAACATGATGAGATTGGCGACTTGCCTTCGATATCTCAATATTTTTTCATATCTGTATTCTACTACTTTCCGCGGATATATTTCCGAAATTCGAAGTGAAATTTTTGATTTTCCTATTCCTACTCGTCGTGGGAAAGAAAAGTAGAAATAAGAAAGAAATGATCCCCTGAGAGCTTGTCCAGTACCTCTAGTACCCAAAATACATCTCCTTCGCCCCCCTTAGAGATAGGGATTACTTTCTTGTGGTAGTAATTGCGAATGAGCAAGTAGGGGGCGGCAACTAAAGAGGTAGCGAGACTAACCGCAATTGCAGGAATAGGTTTACTTTCAGTTGCTCTTTTACACGTAAACATGAAATTGAGATGTTTAAGGTAAGATAGAGTACAATGTAATCCAAATTATTATTCTCCGACTCTGATACATTTACTAAGTAATAACTTACATAATCTTGTTCACACGAGGGAAAAAGTGAAAGAGTGAAGGGAAAGTTGATGGAAAAGAGTTATGTTTTGATTTGGGTGGCCACTCAATTGCATTTCTACTATTTATTTTCTTGAGTTCCCTCACTATTGTTGATAGGTTATAATTTGATCCATTTATTTTTTATATGTGAAAAAA